TGTAGTCTCCAATTGTGGGAGACTTGTGTATTTCTCTTTTCAGTTTTATCAATTTTTGCTTGCATATTTTGAAACTTATAAGGCATATGTACACATTTAGGTTGTGATGACTTTTTTTAGTGGTAAAATATACATAGCACAAACTGTGCCATTTTAACCATTTTGAGCGTACACTTCCATGGCATTAAGTACATTCATTCATGTTGTGCAACTCTCACCGCCATCCATCTCCAAAACGTTCTCATCTTCCCAAATTGGAACTCAGCACCCACTAAACCACAACTTTTTATTTGCCCTCCCTGCTAGCCGTCGCTATTCTATTTTCTGTCTCTATGAATCTGGCTACTTTAGCTCCTTTATATAAGTGAAATCAAATCATACAGATATTTGTCTTTTGTGTCACTTAGCATAATGTCTTCAAGATTCATTGTATTGTAGCATGTGTCAGAATTTCATCCCCTTTTAAGGTTGAATACCAAACAGTTCATTGTATAGACTGCATTTTATTTACCCATTCATGTGTTGATGGACACTTGGGTTGGTTCCACCTTTTGGGTCCCTTAATGCTGCAGTGAGCATGGGTGACAAATATCTGTTCCAGCCCCTGCTTTCGGTTATTTTGGGTACATATTCAGGAATGGGATTACTGGATCCTAAGGTAACGCTATATTTGATTTTTTTTTTTTTAAGATTTTTATTGGGTAATTGGGGGGATGGGAACAGTACTGGGGAATTAGGGGAAGGGGAACAGACAAGTTGCTGTCATTTTGGTCTTCAGTCTAGTTGTGGAGGACGTTGCTTCACTGGCCCAAGTTGGCAGCATCATTGCGCTCTTCCCTGGCGAGGCAGATCAGTCGCCGGCTTCTGGACGGCCGCTCACTGCGGCTGCTGGCCGCTCACGCTGGCTGCTGGCCGCTCACGCTGGCTGCTGGCCACACACGGTAGCCCATGGCAACCCACTGCCACAGGGACTGCAGCCTACGCCGTCGCCAGCGACTCTCGGCAGCCCAGCTCCAGGTTGAGCTGTTGTTCAGCATCTTAGCTGTAGAGGGCAGTGTCACTGGCCCTCATATGTGGGATCCGAACCGGGACCCTCTGGCATCCCAAGCGAGTTCTTAACCATCGCGCCACTCGGCCGGCCCATATATTTGATATTTTTGAGAAGCATGTGATGTCTTCTTGATGAATTCACCCCTTTATGATCATCTAATGTCCCTCTTTATCCCTGGTAATCTTGTTTTGAAGTCTACTTTGTCTGCTATTCCTATAACCACACCCACTTTTATTTTATTAATGTTTGCTTGGTATGTCTTTTTCCATCCTTTCCCTTTTGTAACCTATCTATTAATATATCTTTAGATTTAGACTGAGTTTCTTTTAGACAGCATATATTGGGTCTTGGTTTCTTGTCTAATCTGATAATCTCTGCCTTTTCATTGGGGATTTTAGGCAATTTACATTTAACGTCACTAGTCATATGCTTGGATTTAAATTTACCATCTTGTTGTTTTCTAGTTGTTCCATCTGTTTCTTTTCCTCTTTTTTCTTTTTCCTACCCACATTTGGATTAGTTGAGCTTTTAAAAATGATTTTCAGCTGTGTTTCTTCAAATATGTTTTTCAGTCTCACACTCTCCTATTCTTCTGAGAGTCCAGTCCAGTGATACAAATGTTAGATTTTTTTGGTCATTATCCCACAGATTTCTGAATTACTGTTGTTTTTGTATTTTTTTAAGTCTACTTTCTGTTATTCAGATTGGAAATTTTATTGATCTCTCTTTGAGTTCACTTATTCTTTCCTCTTTCATCTTTAACCTACCACTGAGCCTTTTAGTGAGTTTTTAAATTATTGTACTTTTAATTACATAGTTTCTCTTTGGTTCTTTTTTATATCTTTGATTTATTTGCTGAGACTTTCTATTTTTTATTTATTTTAAGAGCGTTCATAATAGCTCACCGAAGCATTTCTATGATGGCTGCTCTGAAATCCTTGATCAGTCCTAGATAATCCCAACATCCGAGTCATCTCAGGTAGTGTTGGCACCTTTAGATTATCTTTTCTCATTCAGCTTGTGATTGCTTTGGTTCTTGGTATGACAAGTGGTTGTTTTTTTTTATTGTATCCTGGACATTGGGGGGTACTGTGTTGTTTTCTTCTTCTTTTCAAGTCCTTCTTCTGTTCAATGTCCTGTTGGGCTTCATTGTGCCCTGTGGGCAGGAGGAGTTGGTGTCCTTCCCTCAGCCTCTCGGCCCTTGGCTTCATGGGGGGGCTGGAGCCAGGGAAGTGGGGGTGGGGGGCTGTGTCTGTCCTCCAGCAGCAGCTGGTTCCCTGCACACCCACAGGCATGTCCCTCTCCGGTCCCCTGACCTGATCCTGATATTTCTGTCGAGAGCACTCAGAGGTCTTTCGAGTGAATGCACACTTCTCTCCAAGTCAGGATTTCTCAGCTCTTCCAAACTTACACCCTGGCCCACCCTTGGCCTTGAATCATTTGCTAGACTTTTAGCTGATGCCTTCGTGTCTTCTGGCTGTCACTTTGTCCTGTGCCTGCTGAAGGGGAAGCAGGTTGTGAGCTGCGTTTCTCCTCGGAGGACCTGCCCCTCTGCAGTTCAGCCATTCGGCTGCCCTGCATCTCTGACTTAGACTCAAGAAAAGTGATCCATTTTGGAGACTATCCACATTTTTCTCATGGTTCTTTGCAGCTTTCTACATCCTACCTGGAAGCAGAAATTAGAGGTTTTAAATCACAGTTACTCACTTTCATCTGCCTGTAGTCATCCACCCAGAGCGTTGCATGAACTTTTTTTTTCCAAATGACTTGAAAAGCATTTCCCAGCCATATTTAAAAGCTAAAAACTGTGAATGATCTGCTTTTTCTCTTCTTTTGTAACCTAGTAACCAAGATCATTAATGACTATCAAAGTTAAACGTTTTTCCTTTGAAAAAATTGAAGCATCAACACATAGTCAGAAGGTTAACTTTTTTCTCTTTCCTTTGGAGGTTCTTGAATTATCTTCTTTTAAATATATATGCGTTCTCTCTGACCAATTAGGACAGTATGTCCTGTGGACTCTCAGAGACCATGCGGTTTGATTTATTTGTCTTTTGTGTTGGGTCTGTTTATCTGGGCTTGTTAGTTCTGCAGTGTGCACAGAGTGACAGAACATTTTTGTGAAAGTTTTTTTGTTTTTTTTGTGTGAAAATGTTGTGAAGCTCCAACTTCTGTGGCTGTGTAACAGATCACCTTAAACCTTAGTGACATAAAGCAGTCACTTATTTTCACAGATACTGTGGATGAGAAGTTTTGACAGGCGTAGCGCAATGGTTTGTCCCTGCTCTGTAATGCCGGTGGCCACAGCTAGAAGACTCAGGATGGGGCCAGACCCACCCAAGGCTGTCTCTACACACCTGGCAGCTCCTCTCCACAGGCTTCTTCATGTGGTCTCTACACGGGCCTGGTTGGGCTTCCTTACAGCATGGTGGGCAACCACATGGGGATTGGGGAGCCACAGGGAGGCTGGGGGGCCACAAGGGGGCTGGGGGGGCACACAGAGGCTGGGGATTCACACACAGGCTGGGGAGCCACACGGAGGCTAGGGGGCCACACGGGGCCTGGGGAGCCACATGGCTGAGGGGAGCCATGTGAAGGCTGGATGGCTACGTGGAAGCTGGGGGGACCACATGGAGCCCGGGGGACCACACGGAGGCCGGGGCGCCATGTGGAGGCCTGGGAGCCACATGGAGGCTGGGGGGCCACGTGGAGGCTGGGTGCCCCATGTAAGATGGATTGCCTGTTTTTACCTAGCTCCAGAAGACATGTAGTATCACTCCTTCCACAACCTGCTAACTGAATCAGTTACAAAGGCCCGCTCAAGTTCAAGGAAAATGGACATGAACTCCGTCTCTTATTGGGGGAGTAGGAAGATTCAGGAAGAGTATATGAAACTAGAAATATTGCAGTGGCCATTTTTAGAAAATGCAATCTGTTACAATTCATCTCCAAAGTCTTCAAGAGATAAGAAAAAGAGGGAACGGGGGGCGGGGAGAGGGTGCTGGCTGCAGTCCCCCTTGGAGCCCCTTTAGAACCCCCACACTTTCTAGCTCCTGTTTCTTTTTGGCTAATATGAGACCGTTCACTTCCAGTTATTCTTTGGTTCGGGATATTGGCAAGTGTCCCTGTTCAAAGAGTTTCTACTGTGTGTTTTTAAGGATTTGTTAGCCCCTGTGTCCCCTTTAGGGTCCTGCTAGTTAGCTTTTCTCATGCAAGGCTTTGCATCTCCCGGCCCGACCTCAGACAGGCTGGCTGGAAGAGGCCGGGAAAGCTTGGGGCGTACACGTTCAGCACGAGTCTGAATTTGTCACCGCGTTTTCCTTTCTGACCTGGGATTTGGGAAATCTAGGTAGACAATTTTAGAATTTGAATTGACTTTGGAGGTCTCCTCGTGTCAAGTAAGGAGGATAAACCATTGGATACTCAGGATGTCTTTTTCTGTTTATGTTCAGAAGCCCATCAAAATAACAATCCTGTGTTTGTCAAAAGTCACTCCAGGTGGCCATCGTGACTTCGGGTTGTCCTTGGTGAAATAATGTCATTTACGTGAGGTGGACGCGTGATGTAGAAATACACAGTAAGCAGGCATTTGGCCCAAGGGGCTTAGGCTTGGACCCAGATGGTCCCCCGAGATCTGTAGTGGTTGGTAGAACAACGTGTCTACAATCCCACGTGTCCAGAACCTGGCCCAGAGCCACCTCTCATCACTGTAGAGCCGAGGACCCTGCTGTTACCTGCTCGCATGTCTCCGTCTGGAGTGTCGTTCATCTGTAAGGGGACGTGTATAGAGAGAGGGCAGGCGGAGCCCGTCAGCTGGCTCGAGGTGGGGCTTCCTGGACCTGCCCCTGCCGTCTCCCCGAGACACCCTCCTACAGACAGACAGACAGCGCTCAGCTCACTGAAGGGCTTCGTGAACTACTTAGCACTCAGACTCCCCTTATCGTTGCAGGCAGGCTGGCCTCTGGCCTCAAACAGATGGTGACTTGGGTCTCCGATGTGCCTGCGGTCACCACACCAGGCGCGGAGCTGCAGGACTGAGTGTCCCTGCTGACTCACAGCGGAACCCCCACTTACTGAAGCCCCCTCAGCCTAAGGCCGCCAGGATCACAGTCGCCTGGACAGGTAAGCATATCTAGTGGCTGTGGCAAAGGAGTGACCCCTCCTGCTGCGTCGTCTGAGCCCTTAGTGCTTCTGACATCACCGGCTGCCTGTAATTTCCACTGACTGCATGGAATTTGCGGTCGTGGACGTGCTAAGAGATGCCCAGAGGACACGCTGCTCTGAGGACAGCCGCAGCCTCGGCTCCTTTGGGCACTGCCAGCCTCGGCGTGCTGCTCCCCAGAGGCACAGCGGAGCCCGCTTCTGGTCTGGGTGTGGGCATGCCACCTCTTCTCTTGTCTCCGGCTCCGGTGTTACTGCTGTGTCCTGCACTTACATAGCCCGGTCACCTGGGAGTTTGCTCTTTTTTTCTGTCCACCCTCCGGCTCCCTCTGTCACCCACCTTTTGTCTGATAGGCGATTGTGGTTTCTGGGCGTTCGGTTTTTTGGCCTGGACCCCGACAAATAAGGAGCGTGTGTCCTCGTGGCTGGTTCCTCTTCCTTCCTTCCGGCTGGAATGGGGACTCAGTGACCTTCATGACAGAGCCAAACACAGTGGGCAGAGCAGAGGCACAAGGTTCCCAAGGCCAGTGGAGCGTCCGCCCCAGCTCTGCCCTCCAAGAAACAAAATCTCTCTTGTTTGTGCCACGGGCTCTTCCTAGCAGCCACACGCCACTCCTACCTGTCCTGCTCTGCATCTAGTGGAGAAGGGGGTCTTGGTGTCTCAGCTACGTAAGAAAGGAAATCCTTCCCCGAAGGAAATAACTCAGCTAGTTTTTTATGTAATCATAAAAACATTTTGTAAGGAGGGCATGCAAGCAGATATTTAAACGTCTTTGCTGGTCTGTGACAGTCATGTCACAGATCTTTGGTCAGGGTCCAGTGGAGCAGCCATCGCTCTGTCCCTCTCTCACCTGAACCAGAATGAAAGTGATGTATGTGACAGACACGGTGGGACAGGCCTGTCAAGGTGGCCGCAAGCAAAGTGGTGAAAAGCTTAGGCTCCAGAGCCCGCGAATGCATTCGTGCGACCTCTGACCCCTCCAGGCCTCGGTTTCTTCCTCTGTAAAATGGGGGTATTATTAGTTGTTACCTCACTGGGTTGACATGGAGAACAAAGAAGACAACTTATGTAAAACAGCATAATACGTGATCTCCACATACATTTACAGTCCACTCTCATTTGTAAACAAAAAAATGGCCAACGTGTGTTTTGACTGTTCTCAGCAGCTGGCAGTGCCCTGAGGGTGATAGTCCCCCATGAGTTGGGGCCTCAGCGTTGCAGCTCCAGGCCCTCAGTTTAATCGCAGCCCCTAAAGGGAAGCAGGGGCTGGAGGTCGAGCCCTGGAGAAGGCAGAAGCAGAGCTGGGGAAGAAGGGCCCACCTGCCGCAGGTGGCGGCCAGAGGCTGCCTGGTGGGCACGGTGTCCCAGCAAAGGTGATGACTGGCTGCCCCCACACGTCCTCCATGGAATATGGCGGGTGGAAGCTAACCGGTAACTGAGAGGGTGGGGGGTCCCGGGGGCCACAGTGTGTCAGTTCTGTCAGACCTCAAAGGTCAGCCCACAGCAGACCCATGGCTGCCCTGACCCCGACTCCCAGGGGCCACGAGATGGGTGCTTGTCTCCGAACCCCAACTCCAGCCTTCTCTCACCTTCTGTGAACTCTTAAGTAGATGGATTATGATGCAATTGATTATGTGTCAGCTCAGCCATTATTTCAATTGGTAATTGATCCCCATGGGCTTGTGTAAATCGCTCCAGCCACACTGTACGTGTAGGAGACCCAGCAACCTGGCGCCGTTTTCTGTAGGGGCCGGGTCACACTTCCTGCTGACATCCCCCTGATGGCAGCCCAAGGCGTGACCCACCTTCCAGGGAGGACCCCAAGCTACCAAAGGAAAATTACATTGTGCTTGGAGTACTTTATTTAAGGATAAAAACGTTTCTGGTAAAATGTTAATTTGTAAGCTTGAGTGATTACAGGGATAACCCACGTTGTCTGGAAAAATTAGATTGTGTTGTTTCCTGCCAGGGCTGAATTAATGAGGTGTCACTTGGGTGAACTCAGTCTTTTATCAAGATCTGTTTTATGATGTATAATCTGATGTTGATGGACCCGCAGCGCCCAGAGCCAGTCATCCTGCAGTTAACACATTCGTCTGTGTTTCTACAAACCACGCAGCCTATAGCACAGAATATGGGGCCACGGCCTTACCTGTGTCATCAGCATAACACATTTACACACACACACACACACACACACTCTCTCTCTCTCTCTCTCTCTCTCTCTCTCTCTCTCTCTCTCTCTCTCTCCTCTCTCCTCTCTCCTCTCTCTCTCGAGTACACATGCTAACTCACGCACACGTCGCATCTCCCCTGGCTTGTTAGATTTTATTTCCATATCAGAGAGACTGACCAGATAGATACACACGCCACGCATGTGTCAGATGAGCTCTTCTTGCAGATCCTGCTAGCAAACAGTGATGGTGACAATGGCGGGGAACGTGAGGAGAGTGTGTGGGGACAGCCTTTAAATAAAACCAGATTCCTGATGAGAATGAGGTTCCGTTGTTCTTCCCCGAGTGGCTTAACGTGACTTGCCGTAACTCTGGTGTCGCACATGTGACATTTGGTCCAGTGCTTTGCTGGTACCTGGGCCATCTTCTAGGCCTTCTTGTGTTACTGTGAATGCCGAGCGATGCACTGAAATCTGGTGCATGTCGGTTTGGGGCCTGCTGTCCCCAGGCAACACCCGCCCTGTGTTGCCTGTTTTGAGGTCAGAGGTCAGAACATACCCGTGGTGTGCTGCTAAAAAGGGTGAGGAACGGGGCTTCTGGTGAGTTGTGTGTTCTATAAGAGCGTTAATTTACATAATGACTGATCTGTAGTTATCACTCTTATTTTGTCCCCAAGTCACCTTTACAAACCTTTGTTGGGTGGTCCCAGGGGAGATTCAAGGCTGGAAAAAGTAAAGCCAGTTGCTCTGTAAGTGGCAGGGCCTCTGAGTCCTCACCTGTGCCTTTTGGGGAGGAGGTCGCGCGCTTACCTGTGGGTGACATTGTCCAGGGGCATTTACCTCCATGAAACTCGCCCCACGCCCACACTGCCATTCATTCCTGCAAAATGGGCACATGGCAGGCCCCTCTGTGTCCCTGTTCCTGAGGGCACAGAAGCCTGCGACAACGGCTTGGTGACCTGAGGTATTGCACTGACATTACATGGCCTGGGGCACGGAGTCTGAGCCAGGTGTGCGGGAAGCCAGACACGGGGCTTGGGGATGCGCTGAGCTACCCCAGCAGCGTCTCCAGTGGGGCAGGTCGGGGGACTGCATGATAGGGAAGGTCTTCGGGAAGCTGGAAGCCAGGAGGCCTGGACAGAGGAAGTGCTGTGTCTGAGGTGTAGCATTCTAGAGGGTGCGTGCTCTAGGGGGCTGAGAGGGCTCCACCCTCCGCTCACAGGAGGCACTGATGGGTAGGGAGGCTGAGGCCCAGGGAGGAGCCTTCCTCAGCTGGCACAGTGGTGGGCACACAGTGTGACTGCAGCAGTGTCACCCGCCTGGAAGGGGCCCAGAGGGAGGTCCTGCAGCCCTCAGGTCCGGGCCCCAGCAGGCAGAGCCCCACCCTCTGTGCAGCGGCCCCCATAGTCCTGGGGGTGCACGTCCTCAGGGTTGCTCTTCCAGGGCACGGGGAGCCCCGTGCTGAGGCTCCTCGGCCTCTGCCTGACGCTGCAATGCCCCAGCCCAGTGTGGCCACCCCATCAGTACATTAGCAAACGTTTGTCTGCAGCTTGTCCCCATCAGCCCCTTTAAGGATGGGGACACTGACAGGCTGCCCAGGGCCACACAGTGAGGGGGCAGTGAGGAGGGGCTGCGAAGCAGGGTGAGCCACACTCTGGCTTCACCAAGTGGGCAGCGAGTGGGGACCATTCAGGGAAGTGGTGCCCACGCCGAGAGGTGGGGGATCCAAGGCATTTGGGGAACAAAAACAGAAAACGTGGTGATGGCTGAGCTGGCGGGGCAGTGGGGAGAGGGCGGTGTGAGGTGGCTCAGCAGGTCCACAGCAGGTGTGAGTGGTGGCTGGGCCTCTGGGTCTGAGCCCAGGCGCAGTTGGGCTGGACCCCCAAGCCAGGGCTCCTTGGCATCTCGTGGGGACTGAAGCCACAGGAAGGGGCCCACAGGCACCAGGGGTGTGAGAGCCAGGGACATTCATTTTATTCTTCTCTCATCGGCCTCTCACCCAGTGAGACCAAGGAAAGGCGCATGTGGGTGCGGGGTGCCCGGTCGCCTGTGAGTCCGTGACTCCATAATGCTCCATGGAAGCAGACGGAGACGCAGGGCTGTGCCCAGAGGGAGGGCTGCGGGCCGGGCTCCCGGGGTGCGGAGCCACGCGGCCTGGCCCACCCGTCGGTCTTGCACTAGGTCAAACTTCAGAGGCTGTTTTGGGGGAGAAGGGGCAACCTGAAGGAGGAATCTGTGGCAGGGGCCTGGACGAAAAGGGAGGAAGGCAGCAAGCCAGAGAGGGGGGGGGGGGGGGCTGGGGGGCGCTGCTGATAAGGGCGTTGGAGTCGTCAGGTCAAAGAGTCTCGTCAAAGAGCACTTGTTTTCAGCTGCCAGAGCTAAAATCTTTTAAGAATGTGACGTGGAGCTTTGCCAAAGCCTCATTGGCTAGACCTGGGATACTGGCTGGGAGTCGGGGTGGGGGGCAGGAAAGCATGTTTGGAGAGGGGAGCGAGTGAGGGGTGACCCCAGGAAGGGAAGGATTGCAGCTGGGAAGACTGCCTGGCTGGCACTCTGCAGGCTGGACCCTGGGCCAGGGGAACCTCCAGCCACAAACCTTCCTGTGTCTGCTCCTTGGTTCTTTGAGGCGCTCAGCATCGTTCCAACATGTCCATGTCCTGCAATGGCTGTTTCGGGACTTCTGGGTGGCACCTTCATTGTGGGGGACGTTGTGGATGTTCCTCACTCTGGCCCCCGGCCCACATTGTCCCCCACTGTGGTGACGTGCTCCGAAGCAGCGTGTAGCCC